TCACTTTTCAGACGGGTCGAGGCAGGATCCAACGCAAGGGCAAGGAAAGGACATTGCTGCCCAGAATTTCACCATCTGGTGGGAGTCTCTTGGACAAGAGACAATCACTGTCTTCTCAGACGGGTCTGAACAACAAATCAACGGTACAAGGGTGGTCACTTACGGGTACGCTATATACCAGGGCCAGGCCGCCGTGGCGACTGGACAAGGCTCACTAAATGCCCTTAGCCACGTCTTCGATGCGGAGGCTATAGGCGCGTGCAGAGGACTCAAACACGCACTACAACTCTCACTGCCTAGCCAGAGGGAGATCGTACTTTGCATAGACAGCACTTCGGTAATATGGGGCATACGCGGAACCGCCCCTACCTCCTCCCAATGGGCGTTCCTCCAAATCCATGGAGCTATGGAGGCCTACAACGTGAAAACGCGGTGGGCGCCGGGACACATGAAGATTGTTGGAAACGAACTCGCCGACCAGCTGGCTGACAACGAGGCCAAAGACCCGCACCAGCCATACGGCATGGCCGCCTCCCCCACAAGATCCGGTATACGAACAGTAGGCCGCCGCCTCCTCGAACATACAAGGGACACTTGGTGGAAGGATAAGAGCAGTAGGCTATCAGCATGGTACACGCAATGGCAGCTGCCATACGATACTAGGCGCACGCCCGCAGCGCTATGGCTACCCCGAAGGATACTCGCGAAAGTCCTTATGATACGCTCAACGCACGGCGACTTTGAATGGTACCACCGAAAATTCAACCACGAGGATACCTCGAAATGCCTATGCGGCAGGCCCAAGACGCCAGAACACCTAGTGTTCTGCAAGAGAGCCACAACACACTTCAAGAAGTGGCCTCTACGCCCCATCGTGCCCCCTCGCACAAGACAGGAAGGCCTAGCGTACCTCGCGCAATTAATAGACCAGCCACAAGAGTTCGAGACCTTCGTGAAGGTAACGAACTCCTTCTATGACGAGTGATTTCTATTTTTGAATTTCACAAAGACCCGCTGAATTCCTTGGCATTATTCAGTGTAGGATTCGCGGCAAAACGCCGCATAGATGCCACAACCCACACGCTCTCTTTTAAAACTTTCATTGTATCTTAAATTGCCTCTTGTTACTTTTTCGTTTCTCTCTCTAAAAAGCAGTTATTGTACTGCATCGATCAAAGGCGCAAGCCACGAAATACTAGAATATTGTAGGAAAACGGCTTCAAATGGCGGGAGTCCTTTTCACGAACATGTATATAGGCAGGACATCACTCCCCTTAGATACAAAACACCTAGGAATAGGTTCCACGAGGCAAGTGCGACAGCACTATAAGACCACGGCGGGACCCGCCCGAATACCCTATGGGAGGTTACAGATAGGGCGTTAAACCATAATCAACATCAACATCAACAATCAAAGCTCACATCACGTGGCCGCAACGTCAACCTCCCATCAAAATATAGATAGTACAAGTTGATCGCAAGCATCTAATTACTCCCCCTCTATAAATTCGTATAATAACAGCTTATATACGTGGCTTAATAGCTTCATTTTTGAAGTAGTGGATATGGTGTTCCCCGCGCATCACGCGAATCCGCGCATCACGCGCACGGACACGTTACAGTCCGTGCGCAGTCAACGAGCCAGTTCAGTCAACGAGCCACCCCAACCCCCGCTGCCTCATGAACCCACCCAACTTCAACGCGTCATAACTCCACAACCATGGACCCGATTCAAGAAGCGATTAAATATATCGAATCGCGTAAGGCTGGAGATAAGTTCTCATACCGCCAAGTTGCAAAAATATTCGGAGTTGATCGAACGACGCTGTCGCGGAGGCACCGGGGCGCACAGCGACCCAGGGACACACAGGCGGCCGAAGATCGACGAAACCTCAACCCACAACAAGAGGATGAGCTTATCGGATATATAGAAGGGCCTACAAGAGACGGTGTACCACCTACACGAAGTATTTTAAGAAATTTCGGCACCGCGGTTGCGCAGCATGAGGTCTCCGATAGCTAGGTTACCCGGTTTCAACACCGTCATCCCGACGAGCTTATCACCAAATAGGACACCAGTATGGATCGTGAGCGTCACCTAGCTGACAACAAGCGTAAATACGAGTTGTACTTCAACTTGCTACACTCTAAGATGCGAGAACATAAGATTAAAGAGCGCAACACGTACAATATAGATAAGAAGGGCTTCTTTATCAGCATCGCCTACCGCAGGAAAAGGATCTTCTCTAAGGCAGTTTATGAGTCAAGGGAGCGTACCGCGGCGATAAGAGATAGCAATAGAGAATGGGTAACGCTGCTGGCTTGCGTATGCGCTTCTAGAGAGGCATTGCCGCCCGCTCTCATCTACCAGGGCATCTCTAGGGTTCAATCAAGTTAGGTTGACGACCTGTCGGCCGATCAACACCAAGTTTTCGTATCCCACTCGGCTTCGGGGTGGTCAAATAATAATTTAGGACTTGCCTAGCTTCAACAGGTCTTCGAACGCTATACAGCAGCCAAAGCTCGCCGGCAATAGCGCCTTCTAATCCTTGACGACCACGCCAGCCACCTCACGCCCGATCTTTTAGAGTATTGTGAAGCTAAACGCATCATGGTTATGGTTTATCCACCTCATTCAACTCACAGTCTGCAGCCGTTAGATGTCGTGCTCTTTTCGCCACTTTCAAAGCACTACACCGAGGAGCTTACCCAACGCCTCCAGCGAACCCAAGGCCTCTCAAGGATCACCAAACGCGACTTCTACAGCAACTTTTAGCCAGCTTAGAGCTCTACGATGACTCACGATCTTATATTAAAGAGTTTTCAAGCTACAGGCGTATAGCCGATGGACGCAGACCCAGTACTTCAACGCTTCAACAACCACCCACAACAACAAGATGACGAGCCAGGAATTAGAGAGCAAGGCGACGGCGATAGCTAGCCTCAACTGCGCAAAATTTTTGACGCTGCGGTGGCTAACAAGGCCAAATTTGAAGCTAAACAGCTGTCCCAAGGCCTGCACTCGCTGCAGGTTAACAACGAGCTTCTCCACCTCCAAAACGCGGAGCTACGCGCTGAACTCGACCTTATAAGATCGCGCCTGTCTAAATCAACAACACTAACTACTCAAGAGGGCGACGATTGGCACGGCGGAGCTGTATTCTATAGTCCTAGGAAGCTTGCTAGCGTCCGCGCGCGCAAGGCCGCAGAACTAGACGAAGCCGCGGAGCTACAACTCCAAAAAGCTCGCGATAGAGAGAGAAAGCAGCAGAAGCAGCTCACAAAAAGCAGGATCAGGCAGCCGCAAAGGCGGCTCGACAACAAGCCAAAATAGAGAGGGATCGCAAGCAGAAACAGCGCGCTGAAGAAAAGGCAGCAGAACGGGCGCTCAAAAAGCAACAACAACAAGCTGCAACCACTCAAAAAAGTCGCGATACAGCAAATAAGCCTAAGCGAAAAGCCTCACACAAAGTAGCAAAAAAACCGACAAAGCGTCGTCGTGTTGGTGCTGCATTAAGTCAGGTTGACGCTGGTCTACCTGAGGCGTCTCCCCCACCCAAATTTGGCCTGCTCAACCGCAAACTCAGGACGCCCGCGAGATATAAGTAGTGCAAACGCTCTAGAAGCTTCTATATATTAATACACTAAAAAATCTCACGATAATAGCTATTGCGTGTGGCTTAATAACCTCATCTTTTTGATCGTCCCATATTGGTGGGGTGGCTCGTTGACTGAACTGGCTCGTTGACTGCGCACGGACTGTACCGGTACCGGTAGTAGCAATTCCTCGTTGTTGAAAAGCATCATTTTTGTAAACGCTCAAATTTTGCGAAGTAGCTCGCCTGCTGTCCTGGCTCATCCGTTGTCCATACACTACGTATGCAAAGGCCCCTTGAAAGCGATCCATGGGTCGCGAGGGTACTTGAAAGCGCTGCGAAGCTTTTTCCTTTTCCCTCTCATCCACCACGCCCTCCACTACAACAGCGGGTACCCGTCCTGCCGTTTTTTGCATAAGAGACAGAACTATATATCCCTCCTCCCCACCTGTTTCACCTCTACTACCACCAGTACGCCTTGCAAGTGGCATATTATAAGCCCTTGGGTAAGAGAAAAGAGATGATTAAGTGAAGGCTGTTGCCAGCATAACTGGCCATGGAAGCAGAAGGAATTGGCGGTCTTGCAGCAAGACGGTGATGGTGGTACCATGTTCAGCGTCTGTCGTAACAGCGCACGGAGAACTCACAAACGCCTTTAACTAGTGATCGCCAGGGCCAAAACGTCTCCGTCATGCAATTTTTGTTCGACGGCCAGCGTGTGACGGCTACAGGCGGCTATGCCTCAGTGGATAGTACATTGGCATTTGGCAGTTGGAGATAAAAAAAGGCAGCATTATTGAGGTCCACCAGGAGAAGATTGGAGGCTGCTGACCTGCCAAGAATGGCTAACTTGTTCAAGCTTTCAAGGTCCCGAGATCATTACGTACGTTTTTACACAGGTACTTCACCAGACTAGGACAGTCAATGGCTAGGTATTTAGCCAGGCTGCCGTGTGTTGGGTACTATGGGACTTCTGTGGACACATTGTGATGGGCAGGCAGATGTGGACATAAATAATGTGCCATCCGTAGGGCTGCCTTTATCACCTCGCTCGCTGACGAGCTGGCCGATAATGGAGCCAAGAACCCGCACCCGCCGTATGGCAAAGCTGCCTCCCCCATGATCTCTGGTATTCGCTCGATAGGCTGCGGCCTCCTTGCGCAGACCCGAGCTACATGGTGGGAAACAAAGAGCAATAAACTGTCGACCTGGTACTCGCAATGGCAATTGTCATACGATACTAGACGCACACCGACTATTCTGACCCTGCCTAGAAGGGTGTTCGCCCGAGCCCTCATGATCCAATAGAAGCATAGAGACTTCTCGTGGTACTCATCACCTCGATATACTACATGTAAGATGTACGTATATACATCCCGGCTCCACCTCCAGTTCTCATACACCTCATCCTCGGAAAACGACTACATCGTCCTCTCCATCATCGTCACTCACACGTCCCGTGAGCTCCTCCACCTCGACCAGCCTCGGAGACTCCTCTCTATCCTCATCCCTAACAACCGGCACATAATCCTCCCTCTCCCTAAAACATTCCCAAAGCCATTCATTCGCCGCCCCGATATCATCCGCCACCCAACCCTTGACCTCAAACTCCATTAGTTCATCCCAGAACCTGGTGATCGGTCCAACCATCCTCCCAGGCCACGTTTTGTGTATGGCGTCGAGATCCGTATCACCACGGCGGCGCGCACTAAGGTCAAGTACATTAGAAACGTTGAAGTCGATGATGACGATGCGCGGGTCAGGAGCGGTATAGATATCGGAGTGGGAGACTAGCATCACGTTGCGGGGTGACATGTCGCGATGGTGGACTCCGGCGTTGTACACAAAGGTCTCAGCTTCTAGTATCTTCTGCATGATACATAGTGCGTTGCTTCGGGCAGTAGCTTAGCCTTTATGCTACTCATCACGTTGCCATTGATATGTTCTATAAGTATAAGTCGTACGTGGCGCAGGTATGTCTTATCGCCAGTTATCGTTCGTACCTGTATCATCCAGCTGCCGTAGTAGTCTGGGATACAATTCTGCGCTTTAGACGATCGCTGCAGTGTTTCGTATGCGGCTGCTTCTCGCGAGTAGTCGCCGTCGGCCAGGACGATTACTGATGAAGGTGGAGAAACGTGCGTGAACTTGTTGTATTGGAGCTACGGGAGGAGGGAGAATATCTATGGTGCGTGCACGGAGCAGCTGACTAATCAGTGCCTGGCCAATCAGAGCGCGGGAAGCCTGATTCACCGTGAATACTAGTGAAGGCTCTCACCGCGTCTCGACAATTACGTCGCGCTTATTATTTGTAACGGGGTGAGGAGAGGATGAGGACTGCGTTTCATTATGTAGCTATGGAGGAACTGCAGCTATATAGGTGTGTGAGATGAGAAAGTGTGGTAGCGATAGCCGTACCCAACTCTCACTCAAGTCGGTCTTGGCAAGGCCCAAACCGTTACACTATAGTTATGTTAGGCTGTACATATGGACATATGGTATAACGAATAAGTCGGATTATTCTGCACGACTGAGTGAGTCGGGAGAGGTGGTGTATGTACTTTTGGATGCTATAATACGACATGATACGATGTGCTTTTTTTCGCCCATGCGGCAATATTCTTGTTCCCGGCCTAAACAGCGGCGACGTGATGGAGAAAAAACAGAGTGCGAAAGAAAGAACGGACGAAGATTACATCCGTATAAAACCATATCCTATATAGAGTGGCTCCTACGGCAGCCCTGGCTGTGGCAGACATGCTCCAGGGTGCACCTCGTCGAAGTCGTCGTCCTCGCAGCTCAGCCAGCCCGTGTTGCGGGACGCTGTCACGCAGAGCGAGACGGTAGTGGGGCCACGGCGCGCATCGTCTATTGATGCGAGGTGGCGGAGACTCTGGTCTGGGGCTGTCTGATACCCATGCCCGTCGAGACAACCATAAAATCACGGCAAAATGGGTTTTGGCTGAAGCTGGTGCAGGGTATCATCAACCTTGTAGCCGCCCAGCTCAGTTGCCATTTCGATGCGTTCCTGGGCCCCGAAGGCCTGAATGATGGCTCCATTTCCAATTGGCGATAAAAATCGTGGAGAAGTGCTAGATCCGGCAGATCGACCGCCGCAACTGAACATGGCCTACCTAGGTAAGTTAGAGCTTAATGACGATTCACTCGACCAGGCTAGGGGTTCTCTTCGATCGCAGATTTGCTGCGTCGATGTAATCATTGGAGGACTTTTAGCTGCGGTAGTTTTGGGAGAGGTGCCTCGGTTCGACTGTACCATGGTACCAGTGTCAGTACCGTATTTTGAGCGCACACTGTGACTCACCCAGGGAGTATATCTTCAGAGCTGAAGATACCCGATATTCTACACTCCAAGACAAACATCATAGCGAGCGATCCTATCAGCCCAGCGATCAGCAACGGTGCCATGGCACCTCCCGACATGGTCCCGTGTCTCCCTGCTCGCATAAGCTCCTTTTTCGGCATACACAAGGTCGCCAACGTCACCGCCGCTCTCTTGATCGAGAACAACAAAGCCTCAGAGTCTATGACCTGTACCTCAGCGAGCACGGAACGACGCCTCCTAGTCGCTGCGTTGGAATGGCTCTGTCGTAGTTGACACTGACAAGTCGGACAAGAAGATGTAGCACTTGTGCCGCGTTCTTGTATCTGTCGATGCAGCATGCAGGTGTGTTGCTGCAGAGGTACTGCAGGTTATCATGAGCTGCCTTTTTAACGCAGAACTGGAGCTTTTTGTGACCTTTTTTTCGGCGCATGTTTTCGCTTACTAGTATCCGACAAGGACCTTTCAGTCGATCCATCTGTGCGATAGGATGGTTTAGGATGATATCTGTTTGCCGCGAAAGTTTGTTAGGCCTGCCCAACTCGTCGAGGTAGAGAAGCCGCATGCCGCTTGCGGCTTGAGTTTGGCCAAGGAACGATGGGGCGGGAACTGCTTTTTCGAGAGTAATATGGTCGGGACCGAGCACATGAAGCTCAAGCTCGACTACGATCAAGGCAGTAGCACCAGAGAGATGTATTGCCAAGAAGATTATGTAGTCTCTGATACCAGCTTATCTTCCATCCAGATGAGTGGATGCTATTTCTGGATTAGGTATACGGTGTTAGACGTATTTTTACCATTTAGAGCTGCGGTTAGCGGACCCTCTTCCAGAAAACTCTGTTACGTACCTCCGCCGCAAGCCTGCCTGACAAGTGGCAACTACATTGTTACAGAGAGTATCATATTAACTCAAGTCGATCGAAATTTGCGGCTGTTTCATTCTGCTCTTCTCCACTCCTCGATAACTACACATTTCTACCGCAGCATCCTCGTAAGCTGAGCCTTTGGGTGGGTGATTAAGGTCCAAGGCATGCTTTACAAACTTTCGGTCACGTGCTGGGACTTATGACTTGAGCAGCACCATTTGTACGCCAAAGGAATTACTTGTCACATGTTCGCACTCACTCTTAGCTCTAAGGTTTCGGACGCCGTGGAATGTCACCTAGTTATGATTGGCCAGTTTAGATAAACCCCACTTTTCTAAATTCCCAGTCCTACTTAGCCAGCGCGCAACCTGTCGCTTCGCTACATCTCACCGCTCACCGTGGTCTTATGTTGCGGTTTGTGAGGCAAGGGTATTGCGCATGTCACGTGCGTTGTCCTGGCGCTCCTCCCTCCCCTCCATGAGCACCTTCTCTCCTCACCAGCATCAGAGATACGTCATGTAAATAGACCCTGATTATGGCTACATATAAGGTGGCCATGACAGCACAACAACAACAGAACACAATATACTCTGATGACTGCCTCGCGCGGTTACACTTTGATTGACTGCATTGTACTGCAACACAGTCAGAGTCTGGCAAAATTGCTGGAGAGATCTCTCGCAACTTAAGATCCAAGCCTGGATTGAGTGAATTCTTGTATACATTCAAAAGATAATTGAGCTACAAGGTGGCAATGAGTATATAGAGGGGAGAGACAAGCCTCGGTTAAGGCGGCAGTACTTCGGCTAGATTATTCTTGGCAGACAATACTTTTGAAAGGCACCTCTGTACAACCCTCATGATCCGATTGGTCATTTTCGGCACACGGGGGTTTTCGTCACATAGGGACAGACTTTAGACACTTAGACTTTGTAGTCGTAAAAATATGCTCTACGCTTATTTATTCATGTTCTAAGTCCGTCCCTATGTGACGAAAAACCTCGTGTGCTGAAAATGACCAACCGGATCGTGAGGGTCGAAGAGAAGTGTGTCATCCTTGCAATCCGATTGGTCATTTTCGGCACATGGGGTTTTTCGTCACATAGGGACAGACTTTACAGCTATAGGTGATGCCAGTGCACAGGATTCTGCTAGGTGGTGAATCAAACCTAGACGGTCTGGAGCCCGAGCTGTTACATTCCTGCCTTGGCGAGCTCAGACTATCTTAGACTGAAAATCTGTCTATTCAACTCTTCTTCGTCGCACTTTAATTACTACATGTCGTGGTGGGACATTTTTGTCAACATGGACTAAATTCTGAGGCCTTTTTTCAAGTGGTTGGATATCATAGTTATGGGTGATATACGCGACGATGAGCTTAAGTATGTGTGCGGCAGAGAATCGCCCAGGACTATTAAGCAAATGTCAGTATATAGGCAATGAGTGTGAAACGTTCATAGAGTGTGACCTGTCCAAGTACGGAATTGAATGATTGAGAATAACATCCAATCGCACTGAATCAAAGTAGAGCCACTCACCATGCGTGGCGGCCATGCCCAAAACTAAGGAACGTCTTGTTCGTTGCGACCATCAACGAAGACATCCGCTCCTTAGAGGCAACATCAGCGGATATGCTGCGTTGTTCCAGCTCCAAAGTTTCATTTCCTGCAACGAATCGGAATGGATCGTACGTTTCCGGATCTGGATAGAATCTCTCGTCAAAGTGAATATCAGTAGGAGAAAATCCAATCCAAGAGCCTTTGGGTAAATGTTGACCATCCGGCAGCTTCAGTCCGTCTTTCTGTAGGACCTCTCGTTGTCGACTCCGCACAGCTTGCGGATTGAGACGTAGGGTTTCTCGTATCGCACTATCAGTGAGTCGCAGTTTGTTTACACTGGCCCAGTCATCCCAATCCTTCTCAGCTTGGAAAGCCATTTCAGACTCTTGGCGCAGGGCCTCGTAGTAACGTAGCTCAGGCTTTGAGCTCAGCAAATCGAGCAACATATTTGCTAAGGCCACGGATGTAGAGTCTAATGCTAGGACCTGCACGAAAGTTTTAGAGCCTGTTTTCCTGCAAGTAGTGTCTGTCTGCACTAAAACGCTTCAATACCGACAAGACAAAATGAAGAATGAAAATGATATGAAAAGAGAATGGTACTGACAACGATTAAGAATCTCTCCGCAGCGTCCTCCGGAGTAGTAAACGCAGTGCTTTTAGCTTTCAAAGCAGCAGTAACCATCCATTTGATAAAGTTGTCTGGCGACTCACTGCTAAACGCAGGATCCATTATTTCTCGCCCTATATTTGACATGGACTCGATAATCATTGGCAAAACAATTTTCAATGCTCTTGTCTTGTAAAGCTTGTAGGGTAGGCTCATCAAGAGTCCCAGAAGTGGCCGTAGGAACCAGGGCACATACCTCAGTGCGAGAGAGCCTTTGGCCCATGAGGAAGTCATCGCCCTCATGGCTGATACGTACTTTTCACTGCGACATAGGGGCAGGCCTACCAGAGGACGCGAATGAGATCTAATGACTATCGTTTCCACGGCCTCAATAAGGTTGATCTCGACCCACGAATCTTCAGTCCCCATTGTCGCATCAATGCTTCTACGTATTTCGTCAGAGATATCAGAATGCTGTTTCAGAATGTTCCTAGTTAGATCTTTACGAATCGTCTCGGTTATCACAGGGTCTGGCTTCGTCATCAGATTGGTCATATGACGAAACCCCAATTTCTCGTTGTCAGCCTGCCGGCCCAGGACGGTATCTGGCAGCTGCAACATCCACTGAACATGATCAGGTGGCAACATAACTTGCGGTTTGAGGCCGGGGTCAGGAATGATAAAAGGTTGGCCCTTTCTGCTGTACTATACAACGCGCGTTAGAATGATTCGTGTGGATTCAGAAACGACCAACCTTCGTATAGCCATCGATACGAGTACGATCACCGTTGGTGAGCTCACGAATACATGCTCTTGTCCTCGAGAAGACCTCGTCCCGGCAACCTACCCACGGTAGAGTATCGGGAAGCTGCGGAGTGTGTTTTGTGGACCGCAGAAGATAAAGACAGGTAGCCATCAGAAGTACCAGAAAAGCAGTAGTGCCCAGAACGAGTTCCATGATCGTTTGGTAGATAGGTTTACTGTATAATATAGCCTATATGCAATAAGAGAGATTTTCTCATCTGAAAGCTTCGAGAGCTATACTTTATAAAAAAGATAGATAATAGAACTTTTACTAGTACAAATAGGCCTTTCTAAGAATAGCCAATAGACATCAACCTTGGTAGAAAGGATTTTACTATATAATTCTACGAAACGAGATAATTTAGCCCCTAGGTATATTACTACTATAATAAGTTATGTCTAAGTAGTATTTAGCGATTGGAGGATTGGAGGAATGGAGGAATGGAGGAATGGAGGAATGGAGGAATGGGGGAATGGAGGAATGGAGGAATGGAGGAATGGAGGAATGGAGGAATGGAGGATTGTGTTACTGTCTTGGCGCGCCCAACGAGCCATTCCGGCCAACGAGCCACCCAACGATAAGTTGACGATAGAAAAATGAAGCTGTAGACGCCCACACAAAATCTGCTGTCACGAGATTTTCTAACGTATTGCTATATAGAGCCTTGCGCATTGATTGTGTAAACCCAGAAGTACCATGTATAGTCACGTGGTTACTCACTGACTAATAACATTGTATTTAAACTTGCTCCTATCATGATATACAGAACAATACACGACACATATTATATGCACAACTGCTTACATATATATATCAGTGGGTTCTTGCCTAATTTTGGGAGTGTGTAACTAAGCAGGAAATAGCAGTTCTTGCGGAAGGGGGCGCAGCCACCTGGAACAAATGCGACTGCAGATAAGTAATCCGCTTTTCCGATGCGACTTCTCTGAGCTTTTACAATAGTTTTGGCGAAATTCACTGTCTAACTATTTAAAGTCTGTCCCCATGTGACGAAAAACCCTGTGTGCCGAGAACGACCAACCGGATCGCAAAGATGACACACTTCTCTTGGACCCTCGTAATCCGATTGGTCATTTTCAGCACACAGGTTTTTCGTCACATAGGGACGGACTTTATTGGCTTGAGTTACAAGGCAGTTACAAGTCATGTTTTTCCATTCCACGTCATTACCAGTGCTGTCCGGTTCCAGCATAGCCTAGCTCTGGCTAGTTTGAGCTCCCTGGTAGCAATGACAGATTAAAGCTAAAGCCTAAATAGCAATGTAAAGACAAGGAGACAAGATTTGACCTCCAAGGCTAGACGAGAAAAAGGAAGCCCAGCTAAGCCATCAATGATTCTTCTCTCTAGTTGCAAACTCTGAAAAAGAACCCCTCCTTCACCCCTCGGCTTTTTCCAACCAGCATAGTTCCAGATTGATTGAGCACCTTATATTCTCTTTTGGGATTAGGCTAGCCTTACGTTATACACGCCGAAAGTATCTTGACGACAACCTTCTCGACATTCAGATCCGGCGAACCCCAGCGAACGCACCAAAAGCGAACAGAACACCATAAAAAGGACTTTTTCGTGATAGATAATTTACCACGGAGTATCTCTTGGGGCTATAGTCACTAGCCTTGAATTTTTCAAGGCTTACGATTTTCTGCAGGCCAAGATATCTTATGCCGAATGCGAAATAGACTCTGGCACAACAACGGTCAACAGGCAGACCGGTTTCACATCAAGGTATCGAGAATACTACCTCACCATGAAGATCCTTTGTCTTCATGGAAAAGGCTCCAGTGCGAAAATATTCAAGTCGCAGACAGGTACGTGTCTCTGTTTTGTTCTTATCGAAAGCTTTTAGACATAGGTTTGGTTAATTCATGAGGGAAACAGCTTCATTCAGAAGGAAACTCTCTAGCCATCCTATTTTATTCGACTTCGTAGACGGGCCTTGCCAATCAGCGCCAGCTGCCGGAATCGATATTTTCTATTCCCCTCCTTATTATCGCTTCTGGACTGGAGATTCTCCGGCAGATATACAGGCAGCGCACTCTTGGCTATTGGATCTGATCGCTCGGTCAGGCCCTTATGATGGTGTAATGATGTTCTCTCAAGGCTGTGACCTTATCTCCACTCTCTGGCTCTATCATCGAAGAGCATCTCCAGGAACACCTTTTCCGTTCAAAATAGCAATATTCATTTGCGGCTCGATATCCTTGACAGTTATTGAAGACATAGGATTTAAGGTACCAGACGAGGCTTGGCAAATATCTGAGAGATGTCAACAATCCCTCTTTGCACAGTCGACGTCTTCTGCGATCCTTGCCGGAGGACAGGACAGATGGGCCTGTCCCGTTCTAGCTAACACTGAAACTGTCCACTCTAAGGAAGAAAGCCTAATTTTTGGGCTGGATTTTGCCAAAATACTGCCAGACTTCCTTCTTCCAATACCGACGGTACATATATATGGGTCCAGAGATCCGATTTGCCCATCTAGCATGCAGCTAGCCAAACTGTGTGAGCCGAGGTTCAGGAGACTTTACGACCATAAGGGTGGGCACGAAATACCTCGACAAAACGATGTCTCTGAAGCGATAGCTGAGCTAGTAGAGTGGTGCATTTCAGCATAAAGTCTGTCCCTATGTAACGAAAACCCCCGTGTGCCGAAAATGACCAATCGGATTACGAGGGTCGTAGAGAAGTGTGTCACCCTTGCGATCCAATTGGTCATTTTCGGCACACGGGTTTCTCGTCACATAGGGACGGATTTTACCCTTCGAACATGCTCAGAACGCAGCATACGGGGCGCAACCCCCGCAGCAGCCACCATCATGGCCTCCGTATCGGGGGAAACGCAAAGGGAAGGGGGGAGGGCGCCATTACGAACTGGGTAGGTGGGCGAACATTTTGTTGTTAATGTTGTCGCTGCTGCTGCTGTAGTAGTAGTAGTAGTAGTAGTAATAGCAGTAGTAGTAGAAAAGTTATTACTGTACTTAGTAAGCAGTACAGTTGTTCCGGCCACATGAGATAATGTGCACTGTCTCTAATTACTGAACGAATTACACTCTGAGGCTCCGCCCGTCGGAAGATCTTGTAGGCCTCGATCCCTTCATTTTTATGTTACAAGTAACAAGAAGGATTCTCTCCTTGACAAGTGACGAGATGGCTGAAGGCCTATGGACGCCCACGTCAGAAGGTAATGATCATCGCGGGGCTCTGATCATCCTGTCCCTTGGGACCCCCAGTGGTTTCCCAACCATTTGTTGTCATACCTAGGGAGAGGGTATCCTTCCTGCTGTTACTACAAGTAACTTACTTGTAACAGGAAGGTTGTGCAGTCGCGCGTATTCTGAGAGGTTGGGCTTGCGGAGGCGTCTCAGCTCAACAACGGCGTCAGCTATTTCCCTAGAGGATCTCTCGTAACTAGTAGGTGCTCTGGTACGTCGTGGCATTTTTCTGCGTAAAAAGATTTGTATTTCTTGCTGTAGAAGTTTACGAATAACGTGGTTCACAAGCGAGTCGGCCACTTTGCACCGGCGCGTTAACTTCAAGACATTATAACAGACTTTTATCACAGTTAATAAACTATTGCGATATGCCAAATTAATTATTAGAATCGCCACTATCACTTGCACTATCTATCTCAACCGCGCAGGTACGAACGTTATGTCCAGTCTGGCTGCAACGCCCGCATCGCCTATCTCCTCGCACCCTCTTCGACGCACTCTCACCACCACCACGACGGCTATCTGCCTGTTCAGCTAGTACTTCTTGTACCTCACCAATATTGAGAGTCTCTTCTGTCCGTACGTATCGCCGCTTACGGCTCTTACGCTTTGTTGCTGTATCTAGAGCGGCTTCAAGGCTACCTACTTTCTCGCGCAGTAACACCATCTCATGTGCTATCTGTTGCGCACCTTTACTAAGCTGCGCGATCTTTTCGTCAAGAGAACTTGCAGAAGACCCAGGGCGGTTTCTTACTCTCTGTCGAATAAGAGTACTTTGAGCCTCGACTTCGCACGCGTTGCGTGGTGTCTGCGCCTCCCAGGTAGCTGCCCGTTGTGGTGATTGTTTTGGCGTCTGCACCACCACATCAAGCTTTGATAGCACAGCCTGTGGGTCATGTGGAACTAAGCCAGCGGCTCTAAACCCAGCTTGGATGTTCTCCTTCGTGATAGACTGCTCGAAAGCAGCCTTAAAGGCTGGTAGGAAGGTCTCCTTACTGATATAGTTGGTGCGGTTGCGTGCCAAGCTCGAAACAGCGTCGCCGTACTTGCGCTTCAACGGCGAGAAGCAGGCGACGTCAAGGGACTGTAATAGATGAGACGAGTGCGCAGGCATACAGAGAAGAATAATATCCTTCTCCTTGCAAAGATCTTGAAATTCGACCGAGCAGTGGCTCTCATGGCCGTCGATAATGAGCAGTCGATACCCACCTACAGTATGCCTCTTTGTATGGGTATCAAAGTGCTCTAACCAGGCAAGAGCAAGCTGATTGTTCGTCCAGCCATTAAGACTAACTTCAAGAACCCAGTTGGTAGGCAGGTCTTTGAACCAGACGTCGATAAGTACCTTGCCCGCAAAGATAATGAAGGGGGGTAGCTGGCGACCCGACGCGCCCACGCCTTAGAGCACAGTAACCCACTCTCTGTTGCCTGGCTGTATCCGCTTCTTTTTGCCATATCCTTCTGAGCCTATGATAACTAACTGTAATAAAATCTTGCCCATCATAAAGCTAGTTTCATTAAAGTTGTAGATATCGTCGTCCACAATACCCCACTTCTGCTTTATCGTCTTGACTAGATCAAACTAGCGCTGGATAGCTGCTGGATCTTCGCAAGCAGCTCGCTAGTGATCATATGGACGGCTCCAGCGCGTACGGAGCTCAGGGGTTCTCTTAACGAAGTTATCGACCCAGTTCTTGCCAACAGGGTTACCCTCCCGCTCATGTAATAGTTTATCAGCCATTGCTCGAACGTCAGCCTTTGTAGGCGCAAATCCTCGCGTAGACTCTTCAAGAATACGCCCAACTATAGCCTCCTCTTCTAGCTTAGTAAGACGCTTTGAGTTGGCTTCACAATCGCGTCGTGAGCGCTTTCCAGCGCGTCGGTCTTGAAGAGTAGTTCGAGGCACGTTATAGATAGAAGCAGCACGTCTTTGACTTTTAACACGTTTTGATTGGATATCAAAAAGCGCAATTTGAAGATCTAATTCAGAATATAAAGTTTGAGAGGTGCGTTGTTGAGTCATTACGTGCTATAGTGTTGACGTTGACGCGTCGGTGCAAAGTGGCCGACCCGCTTGGGTGGCCGACTCGCTTGTGAACCACGTTAGTGATATTATTGTTGAGCGTATGTTTATCGTTAAGCTCAGGGGCCCTAAGCTTGCGAGGGCCCATGCGCAGCATGGGTGGCGGGACGCCATCCTTGGGCCCGAGTAACTAGTGGGTTGATATCCCTTCCTATGTGGCAGAAAACCCGGTGAGCCGGAATCAGCCAATCAAACATAGCATCGTGCCGGAATATCTGCCGACTCTACGCTTTCATTGGTTGATTCCGGCCCATCAGAATTTCCGCTATACGGGGAGGGATGCTACTCCTTGTAATCTCTAATAGACAGAGGGTGCCGTTGAAAAGTTGTTGCAGTACAATGCAGTCAATTAAAGTGTAACCGCGCGAGGCAGTCATCAGAGTATATTGTCTGTTCTGTTGTTGGTGTGCTGTCATGGCCACCTTATATGTAGCCATAATGTTGCAGTACAATGCAGTCAATTAAAGTGTAACCGCGCGAGGCAGTCATCAGAGTATATTGTGTTCTGTTGTTGGTGTGCTGTCATGGCCACCTTATATGTAGCCATAATCAGGGTCTATTTACATGACGTATCTCTGATGCTGGTGAGGGGAGAAGGTGCTCATGGAGGGGAGGGAGGAGCGCCAGGACAACGCACGTGACATGCGCAATACCCTTGCCTCACAAACCGCAACAAAAGTCGATTGAAGAAGTCGACGAGACAATAAATAAGCATACCAACACCACAGTAATCGTTGTCGGAGATAAGTTGACACGGGAAATAGGAATTGGAGAATCTCTTAGTTTTGTTTGCACATTACCAAGTTTAATAGGAAGCATGTCCGAACGTCCGAAGCGTGAACCTGTCTCGCGACATAGTGCGTCTCTGCACTTAGGGACGCACCTTAAAGCAAAAGATCTTCTGCTGCTGCCAGGGTTGAAATATCATCGGTGAGGACCTGGGACACGGTAAAGGTCCAATTCTTCTTGCGAGCTTCTTCAACAAGGGCCAGTGCAAGGATTGAATCTCCCCCCAAATCCAAGAAGCTTTCGTCTACACCTATGCAATCCATGTCTATTTTCAGAACCTGTGAAAAAAGATTCATGATGTTTCTCTCCATAAAGGTCAATGGTTTTTGTTTCTTGCTGGTTGACATTGTATAGTTGCTGGCTATGTCTTCGGGTAGCAGAGACACTTGCTCTCGTAATCGTTTTCGGTCTATCTTGCCAGTTGCTGTCAATGGGACGTGAGCGATAGGGAAAACAAATTTCGGGATCATGTACTTAGGCAATGAGTTGCGGAGTCCAATCACAAGATCAATTGACTGCGATCGCATGTCCTCGGTCATGCTCACAATAAATTCGAGACTTGGGAGATCTGTGACCCTCTCTTGTGCCTTGTCTGCGTACTTCACGAAAACAGCCAGGGCAGATCTAGCCGTATTCCGGAATTTTACAATTTCCGCAACAACTTCTGCTTTTCCTAAATACTGTGCCGCATGATATTCAACTTCTCCCAGTTCAATGCGTTGACCGTGAAGTTTCACCTGCGTATCTTTCCGTCCAATGTACCTCACTGTCCCATCATACTGAAACTGAACCAAGTCTCCAGTTTTGTAGAATGGACCAGTGGGATTTCGTTGTCGAAATCTTTTGATCCAATTAGGAGGCTGGATAAATGCTGCTCTGGTTTGTTCTTCCTCTCCAAGGTATCCTCGTCCGACTATTGGGCCCTCAATCACAAGCTCGCCGACGCACATAATTGGAACGAGTTTTTGATGATCTTCCTGATCAACCACCCAACAAGAACACCCCCCGGGGTATCCAACGTTGCGAGGATCGGATTTGGTGTTGATTTGCGGTTGGTTTACAGCGGCGAGTGAACATTCAGCTGGACCGTATGTCTGCTTCAACTGTACGTAATCCGCCCACAGCTCTATTTCAGCCTCTGAAACTGTTTCCCCAGCCAGTAATATTGTCCTGAGCGTTGGAAAATGTTCTGGTATCAGGTGTCTTGCAAAGAATGGAGTAAAACATGCCCAGTTTGCTCGTAATTGACTTGATGCCTCTCCCAAGTTGTCCCTACGATCCATCTCGGATATGACGCAAACACAGCCACCAGCAACTAGGGTGCTCAGATGCTCCATAACGCTTGCATCAAAGGCATATGATGAGAATTGGATGACTCTGGATTGCTGATCCATCCCCCACGCTTTAAGCTGCGCTTTCGCTGCTGTACAGAATGACGCATGCTCAATAACGACTCCTTTTGGTTTTCCTGTTGACCCTGAAGTATAGATAGCATAAAGAGCATTTTTAGGGTTGATTCGAGGTCCTTCAAATGTGTTGTAAGGTTTGTTCCACTGTTCTGTGCCGTCATCAAGGACGATGACTGTAGGTGCCAAACTTGCGCTCAACAACGCATGTTCAGCCGATGATAGGATGATTCTCGACCCAGTGTTACTACAAATTTGCTCTAATCTTCGAAGCGGGAATGACGGTTCCAGTAATACAAAAGCTCCTCCAGCTTTCATAACTGCGAGTATCCCAACTGTGGTCCATTTGGACTTATTGAAGCACAGACAAACGAAAGTCTCGGGCTGAAGGCCTTGGGTAACTAGATGTGCTGCCACAGCAGAAGAGAGCTCGTCTAATTCTTGATATGTGAAAGTACCATCCCATGAGCAAACAGCCTCAGCAGTCGGATTAGTACGGCAATTTTCAAGAATGAGATCGTGAGCACAACAATCCACTTTATCTGGCAAGCTTCCATTCCATAACATCAGCTGGAGTTCTTCTTGGGGACATATCAGGTCCAATTCTTTGAGCTGCTTTTGAGGCATATCACGAATGTTTTGGAGGATATAGGAGAACTGTTCCAAAATACGCTGCGCGCGCGCTTCTGGCAACAGGTGGGCGTCGAAGATTGCACGAATTTCAATTTGCTTGTCGTAAATTTGGCAGGACAATGTCAATGGGTAGTCATAGAAGCCCGCGCTTGTACCGGAGTTACTCCATTCCCTCTTGAAGATCTCAGTGTCCATATGTTGCGGAGACGGCTGGATAACTAATAGATTTTGAAATCTGCAAGCCGCGGAAGAATCAAGACCCAGTTTGCTTATGTTTTGCAGACCTCTTTGCTCGAATGGAATCATAGAAGTAGTGTATTCTTGTAGAGCTTGCAAGAGATCTTGCACTGTTTTCTGCATGTCCAATTTTATACGGAGAGGCACCGTTGCGATTGTAGGACCGATGATTTTCTCAATGTCAGCGACGGCGCCTTGGCGTCCAGTTACCGTTGTGCCGAAAACAACATCGTCCGATTGAGTTTGATCTGCTATGACAATTGCCCAAGCTAGTCTTAGCATGGTAGATAGTGTGATATTGCTTCTTTGCGTGGTTTTGAGCGGTATACGATGCTGAATCACTGTGTCCGGGGCAGCAATATAGCCTTTCGTAGCTGCTTCTGGAAAATTCTGCGCATTCAGGTCTGTGAAACTTGATGTCCAGAATCTGTCGCATGCAGATTTATCCATCTCGTAAACGTATTTCATGAACATGTTGAAGTTTTTATTCTCTGGCGGCGCCCCATCGTTATAGTCTGTCTCCACCTGGTTTAAAATCAGCGGAAATGACCATCCATCAAAGATTGAATGATGCATTGTTAATACCAAATATTTCGGGTTATTGCTGTCAGCTTGTTCTACCAAAGCGAGCCGCACAAGAGGACTACCAAGATGCATAGGCCTCTGGCCATCCGCTTCCAGGTAACGATCCAGATCATTCTCCGAGTTACACTCTAGGTTCTGCCGGACCACAGCCTGGAACATTTCGTGACAATCTGTGAGAATGATTCTTGTCCTCAATATCGGGAGTCTGGCTGCCGTCCTTATCCAGGCGCGTTGAAATTTGGCAATATCAAGATCGGGGGGGAGCTCGTATGACACTTGTACCATATAAGCACCTGGCTTTTTCAAAGTTAAAGCCATGAGTCCCTCTTGTAAGGCTGTACACGGATACATGTCCTCTATGGCATCAATTTGGATTGCGCATTGATGTGCAGCCTCCAGAATTATCTTCTCTTTGTCCTCAAAATTTCCCAGGAGACTGAATGGCTCTGCGGATTCGCCATGGAATTCAGAGATAGGCGTTGCTGACTCAGATATCTCGAAGAGATGTTGCTTTTCGAAGATATTCATCACAGAAATTGTTAACGACTGCTTTCGGGCCATTGAGACCAGTTTCATGGCTGCGATTGAGTCACCTCCTAGAGCAAAGAAATTGCTGTCTACTCCAATGTGCAGTTCGGGAATCCCAAGAAGTTCTGCCCATAGCTTACGCATTACTAATTCCCTTTTTTTTGTCGGCGGTCGCACTATGGATTCTGGGGAGAGAAAAGCATTCAGCTGTTCTCGAGATAGTGCCGAAGCCTGCTCTCGTAGCTGACGCCTGTTTGTTTTTCCTGAAGTCGTCAAAGGAATAAAGTTAAGTGGTATGGCTGTCGTAGGTACCATATAACCAGGTAAAATGTCGCGAAGTCGTGCCAGTGTGTGGGCTGCATCGGATTGAAATGCTTCTGTTGTTGGCGCAAAGAGATTAGGAAATGCAGCCTGAGATGCCTCCTTCGGCGCTGCTCCGGTTCCAGACCAGATAAAAACCACCAGGATTGGATTTGACACCAGCCCACCACTGTGGCTCGTTGCTGGAACCACCACTTCAGCAACTACATCTTTAAAGGAGCGAGACAGTTGCTTGATGTGCATCTCCACCTCCCCAACCTCAATCCTGTGCCCTCTTAGCTTCGCCCGGGTTGCTTCTCGCCCGACAAATTCGATAGATCCGTTTGAATTGTATCGGGCCAGATCCCTCGTTCGGTACACTCGTCGCTGCCCACCTGGCCTAAGGCGCCTCAGCCATTCTGGGGCGTTTAAAAACGATTCTGCTGTTTTTTCAGGATCATTCAAATACCCTCGGGCTAGCGCTGGGCCTTCGATCAATACCTCGCCCACCGAACCAACAGGCGCCAGTTCTTCAGGGTCGGATGGGTCAGTTATCCAGACAGCTCCGCCAGCAGCGTATCCCAAATTATAAGGATCAGAATCTGGAGAGAGCGAGGGGTGGAAAAGGCACCAAGCAGCAGTTTCAGTGGTACCATAAGTGATATTCAAGTCAGTCTCTGGCGCCCAAACAGCTAGTTGGTCGCGAGTGATACTTTCACCACCAATTGTTACGCGTTTCAGACCAGGCACATCTGTAGGACTCAGCTGAGCCAACGTAGTCGATGTAAACCATGCGTCTGAGACATTAAAATGTCGGATAAACTCTGGTAGATTGTTGAGTCTGTGATGTTCTGAAGGAATGCAGACACAAGCCCCACGCAACATAGGCGCGAAAATGTCAGCGAGACTGACGTTGAATGTGAAACTGGCGAATTGAAGTGACCGTGTGCTGGAAGTGATATTCATTACTTCGACAAGATCCTCTAGGCTCGAGTAGATAGCGGCATGCTCTAAAATAACGCCCTTCGGCTTCGCTACGCTTCCCGAGGTGAACATCAGAAACGCGGTGTCGTGCGGCTGGACTGATACATGTTCACCCGTTGCGTATGGACCTTGTGTCCCCAATTCCTGGAAGAAGGGCATTGCTAGCACAATTGAGTTCCTGACACTAAATCTTGATTTATATCGGTTTGACACAATCACAACGTTAGCTTTTGTTTCTCGAATAATCTGAGCAAGGCGATCGGTTGGATGTGTTGGATCCATGGGAACGCAGGCTGCGCCTGATTTGAGAATACCAACCATAGCAACGATAGCCCAAAGCGATTTATCTAGACAAAGTGGAACAAACGTCCCACGCTCACATCCGAGCTTATTTAAGTAGACGCCTAGAATTGTCGCGAGGTGGTTCAGTTCCTTGTATGTAAGGGATCCATCGCTTGCGGCTACGGCAACTCCATTACCTCTGAGCGCTGCTTGCCTCTCAACGATATGATGCACGCAATCTTGGATTGCTGGCTTGATCATAGCATTCCATGACCCAATATCTTTCCAATTCTTCTCACTGATGAGAGAAATGTCTTTGATTGTCTTTCCAGATGACTTGGCCAAAGTCCTGATAGCCACCACTATGTTGCTCGATATATTTAGAGCCTGGGCGTCGCATAGGGTTGATGTTGCATAGCGAAGCACGAACCTGGATTGGTATTTGTTTATATCTGCAATAAGCAAGATCTCGTAATCCTATTCTAGGTAAGTATAGTTTTGTTGAGGAGTCATGTTATTTACCTCCATTTGTTTCCCTTTGATGACTGGCATTTGGACGTTGGTTTGCCAGTCACTTCGATGGAAATCTCCGAAACTTTGTAGTACAGTACCAGTGTTAAAGGGCGTTGCATGAAAATCACCTGAAACTGTTTTTTGCCATACTATTTGTAACGGAACTGTATCTCGGTCAACGCGGCCCATCAAGTGCTGTATTGGACAGTCCCAGCCTTCATTGCCACTGCAGCTCTTCGTTGATATACTCCGAAACCCAAATTGAATAATATCAGTTTGTGTGAATTGACGAAGAACAACTGCCCAAACGGCCTGCACAAACTTTTCAACAGTAGTGTGCCACAGTTGACAATTTTGATGTATGTTAATGACCTCTCCGAGCTCAAGCTCCATGAATTTTAGTTCCCTTGGGCTAGCTATTCCATCCGTAAGGATGGGAAACAAACAAGGATCAGCAATGCTTTCTATGGCTGGAAGGAGTTGATTGGTTGACATTTTTGCGACACTGGACAACGGCTTGTAATTGCAAAAATTGTAAATCCAAAGGCCTGAAGTATACATCATCCTTCACTTGGGTTACTTCTATAACCTTGAGCAAGGGGAAGTAGATAGTTGAGGAAACTTTGGTAAATGTCATCGGGTATATTACACGTCATCAAATTTGAACACGTTAGATTGAGTAGTTACAGGTCATTCTCTTTCGTACTACACGTCATAATAACGCAACACGGAGGATCGCTTCGGCATGTAACGCTCTCAACAGTTACATCCAATTAGATCCAAGCTCTCACCTCGCACTTACATTCTCATGCAGTTGCACCTTCTGGTTTCCGTAAGCAGGTGACTTTTGATCCCATGCTAAGCCTCTCTCGTTTCATGGTGACCTTACCTGAATAGTACCAGCTCTTGTCAGCAATGCCGTGGGTCAATCTTCTCCTAAAGTCTGTCCCTATGTGACGAAAAACCTGTGTGCCGAAAATGACCAATCGGATTACGAGGGTCCAAGAGAAGTGTGTCATCTTTGCGACCCGGTTGGTCGTTCTCGGCACACGGGGTTTTTCGTCACATAGGGACAGACTTTAGTTCCTGTGCTAGCTCCTAGGATCTGGCCACCTCATCTTCTCTTGTATGACTCAAAGCACTGGAAACACGGAGTTTTAGATAGCTAAAGCAAGAAATTCGGCTCTTTCCCTTAGTAAGGCACCCTTAGCTTTTGTGGCGCAGTCGGTCGACGCAGGCCTGCAACGCTAGGCGCATATGTAGGTACAGCCTCACGTCTGAATTGCAAGGGCTTTTCTTTTGCAAAGTCGGAAATTCAACCCGGCATATGTTTAGTAGAACGTCAGAAGAGGAATACGAGAAAAAGGACGTTAAGCTTGGTTAGAGTAGTTGTATCTGGTGGGTGTAGCACTCCGACATGAACTCAACATTGGTATGAGAGCCATGGCCGTCGGGTATTAGGACACGACTGCGTGATTGATTGTGAGTGGTTTCCGGTATAAAAACGCGGCGTAACCACTCAAGGCCTGTACTGTTCGAAGCCCAGCCGTTTTCTGACGTTGCATACAGCCAATCTGGTATAGATTCTAACGGGAACTAGCTGGCTTCGAGATGCTGTCCCTTGAATATTACTACCGGGCGTAGCGTGTGGCTGGTAGCCAAGACGCACTCAACTATCGATATCCACTCTCGGTTTTCTGGAGATTTCCGGTAAGTTTTTCTTTTCTTAGATGAACTTAACGCCATGGGGTTGTTGCAAATGCCTATCCTAAGTCCAGTCTCATCTATACTGTATATATCTTCCAACAAGATGTTGTACTGGCGTCGGGTGTGCTCAAAGAGCTCGATGAAAGCTCGAATCGCGGTCGGATCGGCTGCCTCAGCTCGGGCGGCATGGATAGATCTACCGACTACCGAATGGGTCCGCTGGTTCGCCGGAGGAACTGGGATACCCAGCCGCGCCCAAACGGGCGGTCGTCACCGTTCATGGCCAGCAATTGGGTCGCAACAGCTCGTACTATAGAATGGGTGGGCGGCATTGCGCGCTGATCTTCGATTAGAATCCAATCGACTATTTAGGTGCTGTTCTTGTTCGGGAGTTAGGCGCTGCTGTAGCTGGTGGGCGATTGCGTAGCGCGTTGCACCTGCCTAGCAGCGCTGCAGGGTTGTTCTGGGCACATTGTACGCTCTACTTCCTGCCCGGAGGCTCGGAAAAACTCTTACATTGCGATCGGCTAGCGCACGTTGTATAGATTGCTCATTTATAGGCATTTTAGTCGTGTTGTGGTGGAGTTGTATAGCTTCAAAAGTGGAAACGCGTGGTGGATTGGGTGGTTGGTGGGTGGATGGCCCGAAACCACCGGTGGCTCGGAACTCTAAGTACCCTACCGAGCTTAGTCATTTCTCAATAAAGCTTTCCGTCTGATAACTATGTTCTCGGTTGTTCGTCCAGGTGACGGATAATATTAGTCTAAGGTCTTAAAACCTTCTCTATATTGATTTAGTATAAGATCTTTCCTATAACTAGTTAACGTATCTTGTATTTATGTTTCTGTGTAAGCTACCTTACAACTTAAATTCACAAAGAAGCGCAAATCGTTAAAAACACGACTCTAGAATGCAGATTTTCCTCATGGACCTACTTAAGAACGCTAGGATAGGTAACACTGTTATCATCCCTTGGCTAGTAATCTGTTTTGTCGCTGTAAGCATCCACCGATTACTATAAATTAAAAGGACCAGACGGTAATATTTACTGACGCGAGAGACCTAATGGAAGGTTATATGCTGGATAGTACATAGGGCATGGTACCATCCTTTAGCAAAATACCCTGGTCCCGTGTTAGCAAGATTCACAAATCTATACAGCGCGTACCATGCGTGGAGAGGTGACATCCATCGGGACATACTTCGTTGTCATCTGAAATATGGTTAGTATCTGCTAACAATTCCATCACATTATAAATCTCATTAGCTGATGTGCCCTAGGTAGTCATGTACGTTATGCACCTAACCGCATCCTAATTAATACGCCAGGCGCCCTCCGTGGTAAGATGAAGATCCTTGCATGTGCTGTAAATCGTTCTTTTATATTTGTTGCTTACATGTGTAGATATTTACGGTCAAGGCTCGCACGTGCGTAAATCTACAACGTATCGTGTTTTATCATCGCAGGCGATCAATACTCTGACTATGTCTGACAAAGTGCAACATGCACATCGCCGGAGAATATTAAGCCAGGCATTCTCAGAGAACAACCTGAGGGTGCTAGAAACTACTATCCAGGAAAGAATTCAAAGATTTTGTAAGGTTATAAATGACCAAATCTGCCTAGGATGCGAGAGTGGCGATGCGTGGTCGGATTCGATCAATATGGCACACTCATGCAAGTCTCTCATCCAACTTCAATTTTTACTTCCTAAAAGTTCTAACATTAGCGAACATAGTTACTAATCTTGCTTTTGATGTTATAACGGCTGTGACCTTCGGGTTAGACTACCGCACGATGGAAGAACCACATTTTCGCTATGTAGTGGAAGCAATCGAAAAGTCAAACGTACGGCTGGGTGTACTTATGCAGGCCCCGGAGCTGGCTCTTAGCAGAGGGTTTGATCGACAACTATTCTTCAAAGCTAAAGAAGGTGGAGCTAAATTTGTTAAGTTCCTGCGCGAGCTTTTGCAGCAACGCCTTAAAAAAGGCCCGGCAGGCCCTGTCAAGGACATTTTTAGCTTTCTACAGCAGTGCAAGCATCCTGACTCTAGTACTGGGTTAAGCCCGATAGAAATCAGCACCGAGACAGCGACATTTATAGTAGCCGGTAAGTTCCGCCTCTATTCTTATGTATAATACTAAACGTTCTTCTCTCTAACAATACGTTGCTAGGAACTGATACAACGTCTACAGCGATGGCATCTCTATCTCACTATTTAAGCTGGTCACCACGATGCTATTCACGTGCGAGAGAGGAGGTACGGACAATATTCGATTCCGAGGGCGACATAGTCTTTGGTCCCAAACTCAATTCGTGTGTATTTCTTCGGGCATGTCTCGACGAAGCGCTGCGCATCACGCCTCCTGCTGGAGGGCCTCTCTGGCGAGAAGTGGAAATAGGTGGGACCCAGATCAACGGAGACTATATACCAGCTGGTTGCGAGGTTGGTTCTGGCATCTATGCTATGCACCGCAGCCCCCAAAATTGGTCCGATCCGGATACTTACATACCCGAGCGATGGCTTCCGAACAAAGGTGCAGCAAAGTCCGAGAATCAAGAGCACAAAAATCTCCGCCAACCATATTTTCCTTTCAACATTGGGCCACGTAGTTGCGTTGGAAAACCTCTTGCAATCGCACAGATCATGTTAACATTTGCTCATCTCCTCTGGAAATTCGACTTTCGCATAGCTGATGCCGAAGAGCTGTGTTCTACTATTGATGATATAGTACCGCCTGAGTACATGCTCCAGGATTATATATCAGGCCAGAAACACGGCCCTATCTTACAATTCTGTTCTCGTTCCTAGAAACGCATTTTAAAGGGAAAAATCTCGGTCAGCTTAAAGCAATTACTATGCCAGCGATTGTTTATTATCTAGCATAACTAGTTAGTTTCTTACGTGATCTATTACATCAGGATTCGTAGTGCATAATTACGCTTGCCTTGTTAGATATGAATTGACCTAGCCTATCCTTGCTATGCCTCGCCCATAGTTGTGAGTTTGGTGTGTATTTCTTAGGGCTATGTAACTCAGTACTAAAATGGCTGTAGATGTGTAAATGACAACGACTACTTTCACCTTTATCTTGTTAACTCGACTGAGATAACGATGCCGTATGGCGACACTAATGTCACACGAGTGACTGTTGTACAGGAACAACCAGCTGACCAGGAGTTATAGTTCTAGCTACTAGGAGAGAAAGTTGCTGTAGATGGTATCTAGAAGCATTACAATATCTTAAACCCGAAGCGCGATCTGTCGAAGCTCGAAGAGCTGACCAAAGCAGTACCTAGCAATGTGAGAACTTATCAGATAAGAGGCATAAAAAACTAAAGTATACAAACACTGTATCGTGGACGGTACTACTAATGTATTGCCTATTGTCGCAGTCTATGCAAGACTGCAGAAGCAATGAATTTAGCTGAGCCAAAGCAACAAGCCGCTGTAACAGCAACAAGGTGGCACTGCCTCAACAAGAAAAAGCAATAGCTATACATTAGAGGTAAATGAAGATAGTTGTTGCACGCGTGGGTGAGGTGAAAAGTTAATTTGTATTTTTACTAGCTTTCTAAAGTCTGCGCTTATGTGACGAAAAACCCTGTGAGCCGAAAATGACCAACCGGATCGCAAGGATGATACTCTTCTCTACGACCCTCATGATCCGGTTGGTTATTTTCGGCACACAGGGTTTTTCGTCACATAGGGACAGACTTTAGTGATTTTCTCGCTACGGGGTGATGGATAGTAGGTGTCATAATCTCCTCAAGATTTTCAGTATGCGCGCAGAAAGCGAAGTGTTGAAAGTCAAAGTACCCCTCTCATTTGTTCCAGCACGGCAGGTATCCCAGCACTCAGGGAGAGACGTTAGATATTTCGGTCTTCTTCGTGCACAGTAAAAAGCCATCCAAACTCGTCGTAGGCCTTGCCCCGTTGGATGGCGCTCAGTTGATTCAACAACGTGGAAAACACTAAACCACCCTTGTTTTGTTCTTCGGATAGATATGTAATAATCTCAGACTCAGCCTCAACTTGGAGGCGTGGAGTGCTAGGCATTCCTTGTGTAATAGATCGTCGAGTGATGGATTTGATCGGTATTAGGACCACTGAAGTCCCCACTCCAAGGACTTCGCTAAAAGAGGGCAACTCTTTGTAATCGACAGGGCGCTTTTCCACCTTCCATCCCAATTGTTGAGCGATATGCTGAACACTGTCGCTCGTGACGCTATCGATTGTGCAACGAGAGTCAGGTACCACTAATGTTATGTTTGAATCGCCCTGGGAGTGCACGCCAATGAATGCGCAA